CCTCCTCCTCCTCCTCCTCCTCCTCCTCCTCCTCCTCCTCCTCCTCCTCCTCCCACTCCTCGGTTTTCAACAAAATGGCGCTCCCGCTGCAGCGCGGGTCTCTTTTTAGGAGCGGGATGGTTTGCCCCCGTCGTTCCGAGTGGCGCTTCGCAGCAAGGCGGGCCACGCTTCTGGACCCGAGTCCTTGCTGATCGTTATCACCCCCGTCCTTTCCCCTCATCCGCTCCTCCTCGTCCCCCTCTAGGACAAGAAAACAAGCTCGTTCCACTACTTGCAAATGGCCCGGATCCACCACGGGGGATTTGCGGTTCATTACATCGAGGCGACCATGTGCTTGTCGGGCGCTTGCGAGTATGCACCTTGCGAGTAATGGAACGCGCTCGGTGACCCTCCTCCTCCTCCTCCTCCTCCTCGTCCTCCTCCTCCTCCTCCCTCCCTCCCTCCATCCCTCCCTCCCTCCTGCCTCCTCCCTCTTCGCAATTACTCCATAGACATGAGCACTGGTCTCCTCATCTCTCCCCCCCACACACAAACACACAAAAGAAAAAAGGCGTCCTGAGAGCTGCGCGCCCCCCTCCACACATATTTGTCCGCGCACGGGATGCGGCCGAGCTGGGTGTGTTCTTCTGATTTGTTTCACGGTCGACCGGTCTCCTCCTCCTCCTCCTCCTCCTCCTCCTCCTCCTCCTCCTCCTCCTCCTCCTCCTCCCACTCCTCGGTTCTCAAAAAAATGGCGTTCCCGCTGCAGCGCGGGCCTCTTTTTAGGAGCGGGATGGTTTGTCCCTGTCGTTCCGAGTGGCGCTTCGCAGCAGGGCTGGCCACGCTTCTGGATCCGCGTCCCTGCTGATCGTTGTCGCCCCCGTCCTTTCCCCTCATCCGCTCCTCCTCGTCTCCCCCTAGGACAAGAAGACAAGCGCGTTCCAATACTCGCAAATGGTCTGGATCCGCCGCGGGGGATTTGCGGTTCATTACATCGTGGCGACCATGTGTTTCTCCGGCGCTTGCGAGTATGCACTTCACAAATCGTGGAGCGCGCTCGGTGACCCTCCTCCTCCTCGTCTTCCTGCTCCTCCTCCTCCTCCTCCTCCTCCTCTTCCTCCTTCTCCTCCTCCTCCTCCTCCTCCTCCTCCTCCTCCTCCTCCTCCTCCTCCTCCTCCTCCTCCTCCTCCTCCTCCTCCTCTGCCGCCGTGAGAGGTGCAGCCGGCAATGCCGGCGAGCAGGGAGCGCAGCCCTCACCGCCGCAGCCGGGAACCGCCCGCCTGCCCTCGCCCCGCGCGGCGAGCAGCCTCGGGAGCGGGTCGGGGCGGCACCCGCCCCTCCAGGAGGAGGAGGAGGAGGAAGGAGGAGGAGAGGAGGAGGAGGAGGAGGAGGAGGAGGAAAAACAAAAAAAAAAAATCGGAAAGGAGGGCGGGAGGCGGAGGGCGGGAGGAGCGGGAGTGGGCGGAGGGATGGAGGGAGGAATGAGGGAAGGATGGCAGGGGCGGGAGGGAGGGAGGGAGGGAGGGAGGAGGAGGAGGAGGAGGAGGAGGAGGAGGGGGAGGAGGAGGAGGAGGGGCAGGAGGCAAGCTAGGTGCGCTCGCGTCATACCTGGCGTCCTACCCCTCCCTCCCATCCTTTACCATGGCGTAGATCTCCTCTCTGTTCGCACAATCGGATGCCGTAGCATGACATATCATTACAGGGCTTCTGCGGCACAAAAAGTCAACGAATCGATACCCAATGTGTAATAACTTCCGATTGTTTCATGGGGAGGCCATGTTTTAGATTTGGGGGCCTATTTGGAAGGACCGAACACCATGCCGTGGCATGGCATTGGAAATAATGACGCCAACGCTGCAGTGGGAGCACGATTCGAAACGAGCGGAAGCGCTGAAATGAGGTCAGCGCTGCAGCGGGAGCTCGATTCGGAACGCGCGGTAGCCCGAAAATGAGGCCAGCGCTTCAGCGAGAGCAGCAAAAAAAACAACTCCCGGGAATCATGTGTAAAAAAACGTACGCGGAGGGGGGCCGAACGATCCCCGGACGCCACCAGGGGAGAGAGGAGAGCAGAATCACATCGTCTCGCTGTAGGAGGGGAACAGGAAGGGACACCACCACCAGCACCGTCACGATCTCCATCACCATATTGCCCGTCGGCCCAATCCCCATGCCGCCGGCCGCGCCCCCTGGCGCGCTCGCCGCTGGGATGATCGCGCAGCGCTCACGCGGCAGCCCGGGCGGCGCGAGGCGGAGGCGGCGGCCCGCGGGCCTGGCCTCGCCGCGCGCGCCTCTCCGCGGGCCTCTCCGCGGGGCCCCGCCCCTTCGGCCACACGGGGCCTGCTGCGCGCCGCCGAGGAGCTGCTGCCCGCGGCGGTGGCAGGCCTCCGGGGGCCAGGCCCGGCGCCGCCCTCGCCCGCGCCCGCCGCGGCGGCTGGGCCGCCCGCCGCGGCCCCGCCGCCGCGGCGGCGGCGGCCGCGGCGGCGGGGCGGATCGCGGCGCCGCGGTCGGCGGTGCTCTTGCCGACGCGCGTGGGCCGGCGGCGCCCGCCCAGCGCGCCCTGGCCGCGGCGGCGCCGTGGAAGCGGCCGTCGGCGGCGGGGCGATGGCCGTGGAGCCTGCGGCGCCCCGAGCTGCGGCCGCCGAGCCGCCCACGCGCAGACGGGCCACGGAGGCCAGCAGGGCGGAGGCGCCGGCACTGGCGGCGGCGGGCAGCACGGCCGTGGCCGCGGCCACGAGCGTCCTGCCCCCCGTCTGGTCCTCGTGCGTGCTCTGAGGGATCAGGGTCCTTCTTCCTCCTCCTCCTCCTCCTCCTCCTCCTCTCCTCCTCCTCCTCCTCCTCCTCCTCCTCCTCCTCTTCCTCGGCCTCGGCCTCCCCTCTCATGAGAAGAGCCACCACCAGCACCATCATCAGCACTGTCAAGAGGCATCCTGCCACCCTTCTCGCTGCTCCCTCGTCCTCCCTCCCCCTTGAACCGCGGAGTGCGTCCACACTTTGGCCCAGGGCGCGCGGAAGAGGGCGGGCCCTTTTGTGCACCCCCCGCGCATCGCCCGCCAAAGAGTGGGGCCCGCCCGCCCCGGCGCCGGCCCGCGCCAAACGCCACGCCACACTGTCGGGGCCGAGATCTGCCGGAGGCGTGCCCGCATCCAGGGCGCAGCTTCTGAAGCTGCGCCCTGGCGTACCGGGCCGAACTGGACGGCCCCCCTGACAACGACGAACCGAACCGAACCGTACCGGTAAATTCCGACGCCGAACCGAACCGAAACGGACCCACTTCGGAACCTCACCGAACCGAACCGAACTGGACCCTTCATGGCTTCAGCTTCAAGTCCAAAAACATCCGGGTTCTCCCGACGCGGACATCCCCATGCAGTGGAAGCCCGTCCACAAGAGACCTTCCACAAGAAACCCAACCCTGACCCATGACGTCCCTCGATTTCCGGCGCGGGAACGCCACGCCCTCCACAGCAAACCCCTCGACACCCAAGAAACCCATGGCACCCCGGAGGCAGGCAGAGTCTGTCTTGGCATGGGCCCCTACTGCATGCACACCTCACTTCCTGGCGCGTCCCGCTGCGACAGTCTGGCCGTTGGCCTGGGTGTGAGAGCGAGTTCGAGTGGACGACGACGGCGACGACGGCGACGACGACGACGCCGATGACGACGGCTACGATGAGGGACAGCAAGGACGGCAAGTCAAAGACAGACAGGCGGTGAGCGGGCACCCTCTTGTCTCCTTCATCTTTTTACTCGTACAAATCCTCACTCCTCCCTTCTCCCTTGGACTTGTACTCCTCCCTTCTCCCTCTTGTTCCTCGTAAAGGGTCAAAAAACTCCAAAACTTCTTTCCTCACTCCTCCCTTCTCCCTCTTCCTGCGTCCTCCGTCCTTCCTCCTCTGTCCTCGCGGCCGTCCCCCTCCCTACATCGAAATGACCATGGGACCCAAAAAATAAACAGGAGTCAAGAGTGCAACACGGAGAGCCTCCCCCGGCACATCCCCATGATCTGGCCACCCCGAGTACTGAGGCCAGCGCCTAGCTCGAGACATCCTCACAGTCTCTTTTGACAGCGCCGACGTCCAAAAGCCCCCAAACAGACAAACCGCCCGAGACATCCCCACAATCTGGGCGCGAAGCAACCGTCCTAACCGCCTGGCGGCCCCTCCTTGGAGAGCTGGCACCAGCGATCCGACGTAGAAATCCCCACACTGAGCTCTGAAAACACAAAAAACGTCCAAGCCACCAAACGGGCAAACCGTCTGAGACGTCCCCACAATCTGGGTACGAACGGGCAAGTGGTCCCCTCCCTGGCGGCCCTCCCCCTTGGGGTGCTGAGGCCAGCGCCTCGCTCGAGACGTCCTCACGACCTGCTCTACGCACCGAGGTCCAAGCCGCCAGACGGGCAAACCGCATGAGACATCCACACGCTCTGGGCGCGAACGGGCCAGTGTCCCCGTCCCTGGCGATTCCTCCTCGGGGTGCTCAACTGCCACGCCTGCTACATTGCAATGTGCATGGGGCTCTGGAAAGACAGAAGTCCAGGCCACCAAGCAGACCTATCGCCTACGGGCAAATATCCCCACCCCCAGCAAGTAGTCGTTGGGGCGCTCAATGGCCACGCCTGATACATCGCGATGAACGTGGGGCTCTGCAAAAAAAGCCACCAAATGGGCAAACCGCCTGAGACATTCCCACAATATGTGTGGGAACGGGCAAATGTCGCCAACCCTGGCGGCCTCTTCTTGGGGCGCTCAACTGCCACGCCTGCTACATCGCGATGAGCATGGGGCTCTGACAATAAGACAAGTCAAAGCCACCAGACAGGCAAGCCGCTTGAGGCATCCCCATGATCTGGGCGCGAACGGGCAAGTGTCCTCATCCCTGGCGGCTCCTCCTTGGAGCGCTCAAATGTCACGCCTGCTACACCGCGATGCGCATGGGCCGCTGCCTGTATGAGTCGTGCGCCTACGCGTCTGAATAATATATGGCTGAGTTTGAGTGGGTCTGAGCGAGAGCGGTGCATGTATGAGTGAGTTTGGGCACGTTCGAGTTTGAGTATGAGTGGGTCTGGGTGAGAGTGAGTCTGAGTATCAGTGGATCTGAGTGTGAGTGTGTCTGACAATTAGTGCGTCTGCGTGCGAGCGCATCTGAGTGTGAGTGAGTCTGAGTGTGGCTAAGTCTGAAGATGAGCGACAGGCGGAGGAAAAGGAACTCGGGAAGCGGAAAACATCACACGAATAAAAGGAGCCCCATACTTAGGATGCGGGGAGGCAATACAAACAGTAGCCCAGCGAAGGATCCAATGTAGTTGTGAAATGTTGTGAGTGCTGTAGTTGTGAGTGCCGCCTTCGGTGAAGCTCCACTTGCGGTCACGAAGCGAGTGAGTGGTGTGCCCAAATGTCTGGTGGGGACGCATGCGGCCGCAGCCACTGGGGCCACGAAACGTGTGAAAGGTGTACCGAAATGGGCGACGGGGACGCATGCGGCCGCAGCCACCGGGGGATCAGGTGGTGCCCCCTCTGAGGGCACGAAACGTGAGGAGGAAGGTGGACGCGGGGCGCTGTCTCTGCAAAACGAGGACCCAACACCACAGGGTGGTTGGGAACAAGCAAACATGGGCTCGCGTGCGTCGTCGTCGCCGCCGTCGTCGTCTTCGTCGTTACCCTTCAGGGTCGGTGGCACTGGCCGTAAGGCCTTCGCATTAACAGGAACCCCATGCCTAGGACGTGGGGAGGAGCTACAGAAACAAACAGACAAGAGTTCCCGCACATCGCCTCACGGCATGACACTTCGCAGGGTTGGCGCGCCTTGCAAAATGAAGCACGGGGCATGCTCCAGGAAGCCGGAGTCTGAGTCTGAGCACGTTGCCATCTCTTGGAAGGCGCATATCTCGTGTCCCTCGCCTTCCGCCAACCCTCCGCGGACGGAGCCGTCCACGTCGTCCGCCGCCTCCCGCTGGCCTCCGCCGAGGGCGAGATGCCAACCCCATCGAATGGCATCGTCTGCAGCACCCGATGAACTCTTCTGGGGGCGGTCGAGGGGACCAGAGTTGCGCGTGCACTTCGGCGCGAGGCTCCCGCAGCAGTGGGCCCCCCCGCCAGTCATCCTGCGTCGCCCCTCCTCCCGCGGCTTACGCTCCCGGCTGGCCCCCAGGTTCCAGGAACGACTGTCCTTGCCGCGTGTGGGCAGCGCTCTGGACGTAGGCATGCGTGCCAAGTCAACAACAAAAACGCCAGTAGGTACAAGCACAGCGGGCACAATTGCGCTGCGCTCCAGCTCGCCCCAGCCATCGCTCCAGCCAGGACAAGAGAATCGTCAGTCCTGACCTCCTCCCCCTCCTCTCGCTCCTCCGCTCCCTCCCCCGTCATCCTCCCCCACACATAGGCTGACTTCCCTGATGTGCCTTCCCTCTTCCGATCCCTCTCGGCCGTCCACCACCTCCTCCTCCGCCTCCTCCTGCTCTTCGGTCGGGCATATCCCCCTACAGGCGGATTTTGGACGAAAAACGAAAAATCAAATAATACTCAAACATAGTCAACAAGTACTCCAAACATAGTCCCTGGCCTATTTTTTCAACTATTTTGGAATATTCCTCCTGTAGAGGGACAGGCACGACTTAATCCTGCGCCTCCTCTTCCTCCTCGTGTGTTCCTCCACACCTTCCCGGGGATCCTGCGCTTTTCTCGGAAGCTCGCGAAAGGCTCCTGAAGACACGTCCTGAGAGGGCACTGTGAATTGACACCAAAAGCATTCACACAGACACACACAAACACCAAATCATCGCTCGAGACTCGTCCCAGTTCACTCAAAAATGAGGCTCCAGCTAGAGACTCCCTCACAATTCGTTCACATACTCCCAGAAGGCACTGTACTTGATTAAGAAAACAAAAGAATCCAGCAGTGGCGGACGGAGCCGAAAGAAGCCAGGAGAGATGATGGATCCTTGTTCTACCCCTGTGAGAATCCTAAAACTAAGCGCGACTGGGAAGAAAACAAACAACTACACGAATGGAGGGCGGCTCATTCTCTCTAAAGTGGGCTCTCGCGATGGAGGGCGAACATGATTGCTTTGCTTACCTTGCATCTAGAAGAATGGACGGCGGAACCGCTTCAGAACGGGATTCTCGCCTAAATGGCTGGTCCCTGGTGAACTCGTCTCTCAAGGGGTGCTTCCCGCGGTGGAGGGGAACGCTTGTAGAGCCTTGAGATGGGGAGTGCCCTTCAACATCGTTGATGCAGCCTCGGCTTCGTCTGGCCGATTCCAGAAACCCTGAACCCGAAAATGCGGTTCTCCTGAGGACGCATCCTCTGCTTGCGTCGCCTTCCGCCAGCCTTCCGCCAGCGGAGGCGGCCTCGCTCTACCCTCCGCCGCCCTCCGCCACCCCCGCCGCCGAGGAGCAGCTGGCCACTCCCTCGGTCCTCGAAGGCACGGGCCCCTGCTGGCACGCCCCCTGTGGCCTCCCGCCCTGCCTCCCCCCCCCCGCACCTCCCTCTTTGCTCCTCCTCTCCCGCGGGCGGCCTGCCTAGTACGTCTCCTTCCAGTCGGGGAGCGGCTCCCTCTGCTCCTTGCCGCCCCACCTCTTGTTCGCGTCGAGCGCCCAGTACCTGCCGACCTCGCCCGGGATCGGCCGCCATCTCCTCGGGGGGGGGGCCCGAGGCGCTGCGGCGCCGAAGGCAGGCCCGCTCGCGGCGAGAGGGCCGAGGACGCTGGCCGGGCACGGCCCAGGTGATTAGCATCGAGGGCGCCCGCGGAGTCCCCGACCTGAGGGGCCACGGCGAGGGGGGATGGGCTCAGAGGGGAGGCAACGTCCACCTGGAATCTAGGGGGCAAACAGACCTACCTCGCTTTTGACCACCCTCGCTTCCAAGAGATACCAAGCGAGCGATGCCAAACTACGGCCTGTACTGGTCAGGCCGCTTGACGAGGAGGCGCGAGGTATGACTTGGCTTTGCCTGGATGCGAAAGCGGGGTAGGTAATTCACGCTCTGAGAATCGGCGACACCTCTCCGACAGATCGGCTGCAGGCCCCCGACAGCGACGCCGCAGTCCTGGGCTCGTTGGGGCCGTCGGGCCCCTGACGGCGACGAATGGGCGATTGAGGGTCGATGCAGCCACCCTGAGCCTGTCCTCCACTAACGTTGCAGGAGGAGGAGGAGGAGGAGGAGGAGGAGGAGGAGGAGGAGGAGGAGGAGGGGAGGAGAGGGCGGAGGAGGGAGGAGGAGAGGGAGGAGGGAAGAGGAGAGGAGGGGAGGATGAGGAGGAGGAGGCAAGAGGCGGAGGAGGAGGAGGAGGAGGAGGAGGAGGAGGTGGGCCAAGCTGCAACGAGAAAGCGTCATACGAGACATGACTAGACATGCATGGACGCAAGGGGCACGGGCCGGCCACGGGCCGGGTGGGCGTGCCGCCGAGTACCGACCACACACCGAGTTTCGAGCCTGCTCATCACAGTGTTCCCTCCATCTGCTTCCCCCTCTGGCAGTCCAGTTGGGGTCGTTGAGCGGCGGCTGCATGTACTTGCGGTGGATCTTGTGGCTCGTGCCGTAGTCGTAGGAGATGACGGTGTCGTGGAGGCTCGGCTCGGGGATCTGAGACAGCGCACGGGTAGCGCAGGGAGGAAGCCATGTCCCTGCCTCCTCCCCCTCCTCCTCCCCCTTCTCCTCCTGCTCCTCCCCCGCCTCCACTTCCTCTTCGTCCTCCTCTGCGTTTCCCCGCCCTCCTCCTGGTCCTCCTCCTGGTCCTCCTCCTCCTCCTCCTCCTCCTCCTCCTCCTCCTCCTCCTCCTTTGCCTCCTCCTCCTCCTCCTGGGCCCCCTCTGCCTCCTCATCCTCGCGGCGGACCTCCGGGGCGAGGGGCGAGAGCCACCGGCCCGACCGCCGAGGCGCCCGGCGGACCCGTCGACCGTGCGGAGCTGAGGTGGGCCCTCTTGCACGGTGGACGCCGAGAAGGAGCACTCCGTGAGAAGGCGAAAACCCACCCCCACCCCCAGTCCCGACTCCATCCCCGAACCCGCGATTCAAGGAGTCGGGTCTGAAGGGGGGGGTTTTCGGGGTCCCAGAATGGAGAAAACATGAGAAAACCCACCCCCACCCCCAGTCCCGACCCCTTGAATCGCCGGCTCGGGGATGGGCGTCGGGACAGGGGGTGGGGGTGGGTTTTCGCCTTCTGACTCCGGGCGTGGGCACGCAGGAGCTCTCAAGAAGGCCCCTGCCTTCTGAAGAAGCCCCAAACATTCTTCGAGGGCCGCGCCCATCGCTCGGCTCTGGAGAACCCGAGGCGTCACTGTCTGTGGATCTCGGGATGGATGGCTGGCCCCATGTGGCTCAGGAAGTTTGTTCGTTCAGACTTTCGCACCTTCTCAGAGCCGGCTGAAACGTGGCGACGCTACAAGCCTCGCAAACTATCCAGAAACGGAGGTTGAGATCCTGGAGCACGATGCCTTTGGGCACTTGTCACAGAAAGCGCGTTCTTCAATGCTGAGAGGGCGGGGTCGGTGTTTGGACACCGCCGTGTCCGAGTCAACAGGAATCCGTCAGCATTGGAGTAGCGCTGACCCCACAATCACCGAATTCAGAAGTCTTCTGTTTATGTTTGATGAGGTTTGTAGGAGAATAATCATGGTTGCAAAAGGGCCCAACCACATGAAGCTGCCGGCACCGCGAGACGGATGAGAAGAAGCAGGGGTGGGATGAGTGAGGGGTGTGCCGACATGATGGGGCGGGTGCGCCATGCGGACTGGGACACTCAGGACTTGGGTGGAGCTCTCTATGGGCCCACGAAACGTGTGAGGGGTTTGCCGCATCGGGTCTGGGTACGGCATGCGGACCCTGCCGCTGGAGCCTTCGGGGAAGCTCCTCTCGGGGCCACGAAACGTGTGAGGAGTGTGCCGCGTCGGGTCCGGCCACGCCATGCGGACCCTGCCGCTGGAGCCTTCGGGGAAGCTCCTCTCGGGGCCACGAAACGTGTGAGGGGTGTGCCGCATCGGGTCCGGCCACGCCATGCGGACCCTGCCGCTGGAGCCTTCGGGGGAGCTCCCGTTGGGGTCACGAAACATGTGAGAGGTGTGCCGAATTGGGTGCGGGTACGCCATGCGGACCCTGCCGCTGGGGCCTTCGGTGGAGCTCCCTTCGGGGCCACGGAACATGTGAGGGGTGGGCCGAAATGGAAGGGGAACTGCATGCGCCCATATGACGACTATGAAGACATGCGGAGGGCACAAGCAAAGGATGGGAGGAGTGAGGGGGAGGAGTGGAGGGAACGCGGGGCGCTGTCTCTTTAAAACGAGGACCCAACACCACACGATAAAAAAGCTGCGTAAATTTCCGGAGGTCCGCGCGGATATCTTGGATCTTCGCTGAACCCCCGTCGCCAGCGCGCGGAGCGCAAAAGGGGCGGCTTCAGAGGAGCCCCCAGGGGGGCTCAGCGCCTAAATAGGACATCCGCGCGTAATTCAGAAAGGTTACGTTTACGCAGAGTCTGTTTCTTCGAGAACTGCCCTGCTCATCAGCAGCTGGCATGCTTGATTTCTGTACGAGGTGCTGCTGTCCGCAAGCTGAGTACACCTTTTAAGCCAGCGACCGCATGGGACCAGACGGCGTGCGGGGTCATGTTCATCATCATCCTCATCCTCCTTATCATGCTCAGCCTCATGCTCAGCATCAGCATCAGCGTCAGCATCATCAGCATCAACATCAACATCATCATCATCATCATCATCATCAGCATCATCATCATCATCATCATCATCATCACCATCATCATCATCATCATCATCATCATTATCAGCAGCAGCAGCAGCAACAGCATCGTCATCATCGTCATCATCATCATCATCATCATCATCATCATCATCATCATCATCAGCGTCAGCGTCAGCATCAGCGGCAGCAGCAGCAGCATCATCATCAGGATCATCATCATCATCATCATCATCAACAGCAGCATCATCATAATCATCACCAATATCATCATCAGTATCATCATCATTGTCATCATCAGTATCAGCATCAGCGTCATCAGCAGCAGCATCACCATCAGAAACAGCATCATCATCAACATCATCACCACCACCACCATCATCATCATCATCAACATCATCATCACCACCACCATCACCTTGGCTCTGGCCGGCCGGCCGCGCGCGCGCGCCGCGCTGCCTCGGCCGGCGCTGTGGGGTCCTCGCAGGGGCAACGCGGGACGCGCCGGCCGCGGCGCTCCGCCGGCGCCGTGTCTTGTCTCTCGTCTCTCATCATGTCGGTGCGATGTCGAGTCACGGTCGTGCGGGGACAGCAAGCGACCACAACCACATCGAGGACGCACCCTGGGGGACGTCTTGCGCGGTACCAGGGCGGCCAAATCGACCACAACCACAACCAAAGTGAGCACGTCGAGGTCGGCGGTTTCTCCTTCGAGGGACCCGAAAAATCCACTTGGTCGTGGTTGAGGTTCTTTGTTGCGCCCAGATTCATCATGTCGGTATGATGTCGAGCCACGGTCGTTACCCAGAGGGGGGGGGAAGGACAGTGTCCTTTTGGGGGGGGGACCCTTTTGGGTGAGGGGAAGACCCGGGAAGACAGGGTCCTTTTTGTTATGTCGGGTCACGGTCGTTACCCCGAGGGGGGGAGAGGGACATTGTCCTTTTTATTATGTCAGGTCATGATCGTCAATTGGAGAGGGAAGGTAGAGGTTGGGACCGGTAAGGGCAACGCATTGTCGGGGTGGGGCACGTGGAGGCGGGGATGCGCCGCGATCGCTGTAGTACGCGCGCGAGCGCCAGCATGTGGGGGGGTCCAGCACCCCCCCTCTGGTACGATCGTTGCCATTACAGAAGGGTGGGGCGAAGGGGGGGGGTAGCGACCAAGGTCTGCTTGCTCAAATCACCGGAGGTCTCCCTGCCCGAATCTCCGACGATCTAATCCCACCAGCCCTTTAGGGCGTGAGTGGCTTAGTGCGTTTCTTCTTCCGTCTTCCCTCTACCCCTTTGGGGGGGTGATCAATGTTCCGTATTAATAAACACCCCCTCCCCCAGGCGGCTGGTAGCCAACCAGGGCCAATGAGAACCCCCCACACCAACCCTATCAAAAGAAAAAAATGTTTTAACAAAAAAACGTTGGGCCCAATATTGGGTGATGCTCGCGGGCTCCACGAGCACTCCGCATTGTTTTGTTTGACAGGGTCGGCGGGGGGGGTGTTATCATATTGCCTGCTGCACGTAAGGTCACCATCTCTGCCCAAAAACAATGCAAACTAAACTTCGCGGCCACATCTGGATCATGCGCGGCCACCCCGTGATCCCTGTCCACTGGCTTTTGCCAAGGACAGCGGGGGTGCTGGCATGCATCGGCATGAAGGCAAACGTCATTAATCTGACTTACGTTCGCGGCAAATCTTGACTTCCAAAGGGCGGGTGGGGGGGCTGTAATTTACTGCCCCCCGTCTTAGATCGATCTCCTTCTAAATGGCCCCAAGATGGCCCCCAAGACTCCCACCAGTGCCCCAAGAGGCGCCCAGGAGGCCCTAAGAGGCCCGCAAAAGGCTCCCAACAAGACCCCCAAGAGGCGCCAAGAAGCTCCCCCGAGGCACCCAAGACGCTCTAAGAGGCTCCCTGGACCGCCAAGAGGCCCCCTGGACGCCCCAAGGGAACTCCAAGAAGCTTTCAAAACATCCGAGGCGACTCCGAGAGGTATCCAACAGGCCTCTGGCCTTTCTGCTCGCCCTCCTCCTCCTCCACCTCCACCTCCTCCTCCTCCTGCATCTCCCTCCCCCTTCCCCTCCACATCCTTCTCCTACTCCTCATCCGATTACTCCTCCATCCTCCGCCTCTTGGGGTACGACGGCTTGCCCAGCTCAATATTGCACTGCATGCTTCTCCTCATCCCTGATCGGGACAGCTCGCAGGGGCATCGTCTCGGGATGGGCTGGTGGGGTTACTTTTTTGATTCGCGGCCCGCAAGGAAAAGTCCAGAGGGCGGTAAGAACGAGGCTGGGACACAGCGCACGGGAAGCAGATAATTAACGGCGCAGCACCGTGCCGGCCAAGAAGCAGCTGAGCGCTGGTGGGGTTACGCGGAGCGTCTAGAACTTGTCAATCATGCCGTGTTCCGTAGATCTCGGCCCCTGGGGCCGGCCATCCGGCCCCTGGACCATCAAGATGCTTCAGCTGACCCAAGGGAAGGGGTCGGAACCTTCGAGGCTACGCACTGAAACAGTCATATGATCGGATGCCTGGGCATTCATTACCTCCGGAGGCTTCTGGCTGGGACGAGAGGGAACCAGAGGGGGGCAGAGGAGGATAAGGAAGACGGGGAGGGCAGGGGCGAAGGCGAGGCCGAGGACAAGGCTACAGGCAACCCGTATCACAAGGGTGCACGGTGAGGGTGCAAGGGCCTCGGAGGCTCACGCGAACGTTTTTCGAAAGAGGTTTGCCAGCGAAAGTCGCCAAGGGCGGGCCGAAGGGGCAAGGATGCAAAGGTACCCTCGGCAAGGTTGCCCATCCTCGCCATGCGGGTTGACTGCAGAGGCGGGAAATGGGAATGCGATGAGGAAAAAAACCAGGACGAGAATGAGGGTGCTGACGATGACGGCGACGGCGACGGTGAAGCCGCTGGTGCGGCTGCGCGCGAGGATGCGGACGAGGACGAGAATGATAAGCAGGACGAGCACGAGGAGCAGGGAAGCGATGTGGGCTGTGGTCCAAGGTCGGATATTGACAGCGGATGTCGGGCTCCAGGTGCCGAACGAACCGGCGGCGTCCGCGTCTCCCACATGAGGAGTATGATACCAGAGAAAGAAACAATCATAATCTGTTTGGGGCTATAGGGCTATGGGGCTATAGGGCTATAGGGCTACAAGATCATGGGGCTATAGGGCTATAGGGCTACAGGGCTATTGGGCTATAGGGCTATAGGGCTATAAGGCTATGGGGCTATGTCCATGGGGCTGTAGGGCTATAGGGCTATAGGGCTATAAGGCTCTAAGGCTATAGGGCTATAGGGCTATAGGGCTATAGGGTTATTAGGGCTATAGGGCTATAATGCTATAGGGCTATAGGGCTATGGGGCTATAGGGCTACCGGGCACCCGGGCACACGGGTACCTAAATCGGCGGCGACGCTCACCTAACCATATGAATCCGCTAGGACCCCAACAGAGGCAAGCTCTGATTGGGAAATCTAGAATTCAGATTGAGCCACAACGGCCACGCACAGGGATTTGGATGGGGATGCGAATGTGGATGATGATGGAGATAGAGATGGGGAGGAGCATAGCGTAGGGATGAGGAAGGATGTGGGCCTGGGATGGACAGAAACGAGGAGCAAGTAGCTGCACAACAGCAGAGAGCCCGTGCAACCTCTAAGGCCTACAAAGCACTTGACGAAATAAGCCTGCGATTATTGGACCCTTGCCAAGGTTTCTGGGCTGGTCACCCCGAACTCTGCGAAGGGCATAAGCACCCGCCGTAGTGGTGACCGCCGCCTGGAGGAAGAGGAGGCCGACGAGGAGGACGAAAGAGAAGAGGGAGAAACGAGGAGGAAGAACACGGGGAGGATGAGGGAGGACGAGGAGAAATTCGCCGGCCCAACGGGCCAGAGGTGTGCTAAGATCTCCGGTAACTGGTAAACAATATTTCTAGTTGGCGCGCGCGGGGCGGCCCCTGGGGGTCCCTGGATCAAAAGTACCCCGGGCGGAGCCCGGGACACTCCCCCAGATCCTCCAGGATCGCCCCAAGAGGGCCCCAAGAGGCCCTCCAGACGGCCCAAGACGTCTCCAAGATGACCCAACAAGCCTCCAAGATGCCCCAAGAGACCTCCAGGAGCACTCCCAAGAGGGCCCCAAGAGGCCAAAATCAATGCTTTTTCTTAGGTTTTGGACAGATTTGGGCGTTTCAACCTTTTCGGTTCCCAGACGCCCCTAAACGGCTCAAGAGGCCTCCAAGATCGCCCCAAGAGGGCCCAAGAGGCCCTCAAAAGGACCCCAAGACAGCCCAAGACGGCTCCAAGACGGCCCCAGAGGCCTCCAAGACGGCCCAAGAGGGCCCAAGAACGCCCCCAACACGGTCCAAGAGAGGTCCGAGACGCCCGAAGATCGCTCCACGACGCCCAAGATGGCCTCCGGACGGCCCAAGACGTCTCCAAGATGGCCCAAGAAGCCTCCAAGATGCCCCAAGAGGCCTCCAAGAGAACTCCCAAGAGGGCCCCAAGAGGCAAAAACCTGTGCTTTTCCTTTGGTGTTGGACAGATTTGGGCGATTTAACCTTTTCGGTTCCCCGACGCCCCTAAACGGCTCAAGAGGCCTCCAAGATCGCCCCAAGAGGGCCCAAGAGGCCCCCAAGAGGGCCCCAAGACGGCCCAAGACGGCTCCAAGACGGCCCCAGAGGCCTCCAGGACGGCCCAAGAGGGCCCCAAGAACGCCCCCAACACTACACAGCTCCCGACGCCGCAGCTCCACACTGCAAACGACCACTCGGACAGGCGACCACGGTGCGACATTATGGGCCGGCGGAATGAGCGAAGCGATTAAATAACTAAGGAAGGACGAGGGGGGAGGGAGAGGGAGATGGAGGAGTGGGAATGGAGATGAATTGAGGCGGGGGTGGGCAGTGTGCAGGGCCGAAGAGAGGCGGGAAGAGGCGGAAGGGCAGGGGGAGGAGGGGGAGGAGGAGGGGTGAGGAGGAGGAGGAGGAGGAGGAGGAGGAGGAGGAAGAAGGACGAGGAGGAGGAGGGGGAGGACGGGGGGAGGAGGAGGAGGAGGAGGAGGAGGAGGAGGAGGAGGAGAAGAAGAGAGGGGGAGGAGGAGGAGGACGAGGAAGGGGAGGGAAGGACAGCGAGGAGATGGGACGAACCGAGGAGGCAGGGCGGGCTAAAGCTGAGGAGGGGGAGGAGGGCGACGACGGAGAGAGAAGGCAGACGAGCTGGTGAGCGGCCCTCCGCGCGCAGCTGCACGGGCACGGGGATGTAGAACGGCACCGACTGCTTGATCTGGGGCGCCGCGCCAGGGCACGCCGCCGCGGCTCTGCTCGTGTGGTGTGTGTGTGAGTGTGTGAGTGTGTGTGTGTGTGTGCGTGTGTGTGTGTGTGAATGTGTGTGTGTGAATGTGTGTGTGCGTGTGTGTGTGTGTGGTGTGTGGTGTGTGTGTGGTGTGGTGTGGTGTGGTGTGGTGTGGTGTGGTGTGGTGTGGTGTGGTGTGGTGTGGTGTGGTGTGGTGTGGTGTGGTGTGGTGGTGTGTGTGGTGTGTGTGGTGTGTGTGTGGTGTGGTGTGGTGTGGTGTGGTGTGGTGTGGTGTGGTGTGGTGTGGTGTGGTGTGGTGTGGTGTGGTGTGGTGTGGTGTGGTGTGGTGTGGTGTGGTGTGGTGGTGTGGTGTGGTGT